GGGTTATCAGCCTAAGAAGGGAGGCCCAGACTTCCCTCTGCCCAGCCACTTGGGCCAGCTCCTCCGGGGGAATCCCAAGGCCAGTTTCCAGGTCAGCCGAGAAACATAGTCCCTCCAGCGTGTCCTGGGTCTTCCTCTGGGTCTCCTGTCCGGAACACCTCACCAGGGAGGCGTCCAGGAGGCATCCTAACCAGATGCCCGAGCCACCTCAACTGGCTCCTCTCAATGTAGAGAAGCCTACTTCTAACCTACAAAGCTCTCAACAACCTGGCTCCATCTTATAATACAGATCTTATTGTTCCATATTTTCCTAACAAAGCACTTCGCTCTCGGGCTGCAGGTTTACTTATGGTTCCTAGAATTTACAAAAACAGAATGGGATGCAGAGCTTTCAATTATCAGGCTCTTCTCTTATGGAACCAACTTCCTATCTCTGACCATGAGACTGACAGAATATCCAGTTTTAAAACTAGGCTTAAGACTTTCCTTTTTGCTAATATAGTTAAGGTCGGCTTGGGTTTCCTGAGCTGTCCCTTAGTTATGCTGCTTTAGGCTTAGACTGCTGGAGGACAAACTGACCACACTTTCACTCTGCTACTGTCTTTACTTACTCTGCTCAACCTGTTTTTTATTTGTAATTATTTTTTCTATCCTTAACATGTGATTTTTTTTTTTTTTTTTGTCTTTCATGTACACCCGGACCTATATCTGGACCTACCATTCTGTGTTCGTCTGTCTCTCCTTCCTGTCCTCTCAAACAAGCTGATCAAAGCAGATGGCCGCTTGTCCTGAGCCTGGTTCTGCTGGAGGTTTCTTCCTTTTAAAAGGGATTTTTTTCCTTTCCACGGTTGCCTCTGTGCTTGCTCAGGATGGGAGACTACAACAAAGTCAAAATTCAACTTGTCTGCTGGCCTCCTTAGATAGAGAACTTTACTAATTGGCTTTTATGTATGTGAATGTTCCTGTAAAATTCCCTGATTTGGTGTTATATAAATAAACTGAATCGAATTTAAGAAACAGCGGCTCTATTCTGAGTCCCTTCCGGGTGACTGAGCTTCTCACCCTGTTTCTAAGGGAGAGCCCAGACACCCTGTGGAGAAAACTCATTTCAGCCTCCTGTATCCGTGTTCTCGTTCTTTCAGTCACAACCCAAAGCTCATGACCATAGATGAGGGTAGGAACATAGATCGACCGGTAAATTGAGAGCTTTGCCTTTTGACTCAGCTGTCTCTTCACCACGACAGACCGGTACAGCGCCCGCTTCACTGCTCAGGCTGCATTTTTCCCTTATTTGTGAACAAGACCCCAAGATACTTAAACTCCTCCACTTGGTGCAGGTCCTCCTCCCCGACCCGGAGAGGGCACTCTACCACTCTACACTTGGTTGCAAACCGCTCCAGCAAAAGCTGTATATCACGACCTGGTGAAGCCAATAGGACCACATCATCTGCAAAAAACAGAAAAGCGATCCTAAGACCACCAAAACGGATCCCCTCAACACCTTGGCTGCACCTAGAAATTCTGTCCATAAAAGTTATGAACAGAATCGGTGACAAACGGCAACCTTGGTGGAGCCCAACTCTCACTGGGAACGAGCCCGACTTACTGCTGGCAATGCAGACCAAGCTCTGCCACGGTCGTACAGGGACCTAACAGCCCATATAAAAGGGCCTGATACCCAATACTTCCTTGAGTACCCCCCACAGGGCTCCCTGAGGGACGCGGTCTAACACCTTCTCCAAGTCCACAAAGCACATATAGACTGGTTGGGCAAACTCTCACACACCCTCCAGGATCCTGTTGAGGGTGTAGAGCTGGTCCAGTGTTCCATGATCATGGTCTGGACATGCTAATTAATTAGGTATATTTAAGTTATTTTATGTCTCTTTTCCACTAGCCATGTACGGCACAGTTCGACTTGGCTATGCATGGCTTTTCCACTAGCAATTATTCGTGGAACCAGTCCCTTTTTCAGGACCACTTTCTCTGCAATTCCAAGTGTACCACCCTGGCCTATCAGTGACAGACAGTGTTCTGCCGTCGGGTTTTAGGGGGGGGGTGGAGTCACAGGCTGTTTGAGCAACTTTTCACAACAACCCAATCCACCATTTGCAATAACTCGAACTCGGAGGAGCGACTGGACCTATGTGGTGTAGGCCAGTGTTTGGTACTGCAAGTTAAGTAAAGCTTTAATGAGAAAAGAATACCAGAATCTGTTCATCTGTTATTAAATTGGTCATTTTTAGTTCCAGGATGAAGTCTTCAGACTCCAAAGAAACAATTGCTTAATAGTTCACAACTGTAGAGTCTACATCACAGAGTCATTCCAGTGAAATTATGACAGCTTGTGAAGATTCATAGGGAGCAAAAATATACAAATTTTTATGAATTCATCACAAAACTTTATGACGGTTCCTGGAAGGTTCTTTTTTCGGTACCAATTTTGTAATTACTATTAATTCTAACAAGAAGAAAATTACGTTACACATTACAGTACAAATCATGAGTTTTATTTTTTAACTTTGGTATTTTTCCATTCCAAGCAGTTTTCTTACATAAAAATAAACAAATAATTTTCAGGTCAAAAGAATAGTTTCAAACCAGTGACACATCAGTGTCTAATGCTCACGGCTACACACTGAGGACCTTTTCACTTAACAGTTTTTCTTCTGCTTTCTCTGGACGCAAACAAGCCCACTCCTGGCTGATGGTGTCTCCAGCAGTAGGAAGTGTTCGCTCTGAGGGTGTGGATGATGCTTGATGCACACACAGATACATGGTTGCCAGTTTGATAGCATTGGCAATAGTATCCCTCACATTCCACCAGCAGGTCACTGAGGTTAGGGCTGATGCAGACTTCTGTACCTCTGTGTCTCTTCCTGAAGCTTCTCTGTGGTTCTCTGGGGTTTAGGGCTTTTATCATCTCCCTAATTGACATTAGAACACAAAACATCAACAATAACATGGTTGTGTTATTATTGCTCACAAACCATTATCTAGGCTGAGAAATAAAAGTTTAACTGGTCAACAATATCCTTTACAGCTTACTTACCTCCATCATGCAGCCTCCACTGTAGAAAAAGGCAGTCCCCCCCCCCCCCCCCCCCCCCCCCCCCCCCCCCCCCCCCCTTAAAAAAGCGCCCCCCCCCCCCCCCCCCCCCCATCTCGCTTTTCTTTTGTCAGTCTCTGTCCTCCTCACATCAGGGTCAGAGGCTCCTGTGAGGAGAACGTAAACGGTGAAAATTAGGTGAACTGTTTAATCAGCTGATCTGATGTATGAGCACATTTTTACAAGCTAAGCTTCATCTGTTACTGTCAATCTTTAGTTAGCTTTTGAGTTTAGCTAGCTACATAACCATAAAATAAAGCTCCACACTAATATCTTAAAGTTAGTGTTACATGGATTCTAGTTTAATTCACCGCGATGCACGTATTAAGCTCCAGTAATGGTAACAAACGTAAACTTACCAGCTGAAATCCCAGACACAGCACCGTCCTCGGAGTTCTTTGATGAAGAGGAGTCCGGCTGTGGAGATGTTGAATCAGGCCGTTCATGCTCTCTAACACACAGGCTGACTTTAACCCTGAGAGGAGGGGGGGAGGATGCGGTCCCCCTTGAAGACAAACACAGAGAAACTTTCTGCGCATAAATTGAAGCCGTTCGATGCCACACATGCTGCACACGTGAACTTCGTCTGTGGGCGTAACCAGCACCATAGACATACAGGTGTGTACGGCTGCTCTATACAACTCTGGGTGTAAACACGTAGTCTGTTTGTCATATGTCTGGTGTTTTACCTGCCTGCATGCTGAAACCACGTGACACGTTACATCCAATACCGAAACTTGACACCGAAAGAAGAGTGACGTTTCAATCCATACACCGACCGACACAGTTCAGTCGGTGCCATAAAAGAACCTCGGTTCGGTATACAGCCCTACCCTGTAAGTCAAGAAAGAAGCTGGGGAACAATAGTCTGTTTAGGGGGGGAAGAATGGAGCAAAGTGGGGAGAAAAGAAGAGGAAGACAGCAGCTGACCCCAAGGTTGTGAGCTCAATCCCAGCAGTCGCAGCGTTATGTTGTAATGAAAAAGTTTCCCATTATTAAAATTTCTAAGTAAAAATGAAAGTAACATGTGTTCTCTTAAAAACATTTTTAGATGTTTTTTTTTGTGCAAATAGTGTAGTACTGTAAATTAAAACGCAGCACTTTATATTTGCCAAAAAAAGCGCTTTTTAAAACTTTATTAACAGCAAAATTGATTTTTTTCTGCTCAAATGATATAATGAAATGAATTTACTAAATTATACTGTAAACTATATACTTGATGATACAGTATATTTTAACATCATTAATCGTATCCAGTGCTTATTTTCATTCTTCACACCAAAATAGCAGCTCAAACTATAGTATTTTTCAAAGTAATTTCACAAAGTACTTTTCGAGTTAAGCGAGTGAAATGTTGTTCCTAATGTGTGTAGAACATTATTACCAATAATTCAGAATCAGTAGCAGCTAATAATTATTCACAGTAAAAGACCATAGACCGTATCTGTTTCAAAGAAACAAATGTTTATTAATCAACAATTAAAAGTGGTGAACAGTGAATTAAACATTTGTATGGTATATAACAAAGTTTTTTTTTCCTCAGACTGATTGAGAAGAACGATAGACATCAGACAGGATATAGTTATTAGACAGTTAAACACTACACGATAAGACATGAGCTCGACCCTGGGTTTGTGCCACAGAGACAAGGGTTACATAAGATTTGTGAATCTGCGCATGCTTTTTTTGTTTTTAGGTATTTCAGTTTTTTTTAGTGTTTCAAACTTGGCATTCTTCTATTTGCTTTTAACAAAAAAGGGACTTGCAAATATTTGGTACATTCCACGTTTAAAACTAAGTTTTTTTTCTTCAGACTGACAGAGAAGATTTGTTTACTTCAGACTCGTTGCAGTTATTAGACAGTTATAAATAACTCATTAAGACCTGAGCTCGTCCCTGGGTGGATTTGAACCACAAACCATTCGGATAACAGCCGAACGCGCTGACCGATTGCGTCACAGAGACATGGGTTACATAAAATTTGTGAGTCTGCGCATGCTTTTTTTTTTTTTAGGTATATCAGTTTTTTTGTAGTATTTCAAACTTGGCATTCTTCTATTTGCTTTTAACAAAAAAAGGACTTGCAAAAGTTTGGTACATTCCACTTTTTCAAAACAAAGGTATTTTTTCTTCAGAATGAAAGAGAAAATTGGTATACATCAGACTAGTTAGTTATTAGACAGTTATACAAAACTTGATTAAACCTGAGCTTGTACCTGATTGGAATTGAACCACCACCATATCGGTTCACAGGCGAACGCGAAGACCGTTTGAGGCACAGAGACATGGGTCAAGAATTTGTGAGCCTGCGTGTGCTTTTTTTGTTTATGTATGTCAGTTTTTTTAATATTCCAAACGTGGCATTGTCGTATTTGCTTGGAAAAAAAGGGACTTGCAACAGTTTGGTGACATCCACTCTTTTGAAACAAAGTTTTTTTTCTTCAGACTGAAAGAGAAGATTTGTTTACATCAGACTCGTTACAGTTATTAGACAGTTATAAATAACTCATTAAGACCTGAGCTCGTCCCTGGGTGGATTTGACCACGAACCTTTCGGTAAACAGCCGAACGTGCTGACCGATTGCGCCACAGAGACAAGGGGTAACATAAAATTTGTGAGTCTGCGCATGCTTTTTTTTTTTTTTTTAGGTATATCAGTTTTTTTGTAGTATTTCAAACTTGGCATTCTTGTATTTGCTTTTAACAAAAAAGGACTTGCAAAAGTTTGGTACATTCCATTTTTTTAAAACAAAGTTTTTTTTCTTCAGACTGAAAGAGAAGAATGGTTGACATCAGACTAGATAAAATTGTTAGACAGTTAAACATTACACGATAAGACCTGAGCTCGTCCCTG